TTCCTGGGGTCCTTGTCACCAAGGTGGGGCAGTGGTGGGGAGAAGGGGGGAAAAGAGCTTACTTAGCTCTGGTGCCTTGTCGGGGCAGCTGGCCCCAGGGGTTCAGACAGCTCCCTCGGAGAGTTAAGTGGGTCTGGGGTAAACGAGAAGACCATCCAAGCTTTCAAGACCCCCGTGAGGGGTCTGTTCTGAACAGCCTTGGAAGGTGCAGGGCCATCAACCCGACTTATATATGAGGACACTGAGGCTCTGAGGGGCAAAGGGACATCCTTGAGGGTGGACATCCCTGAGGGCCTAGTTCCTGATTGTCTCCAGAAACCCCCCAGCGGTTCCAGGAGAAGGAGGGGCCCCACTGGACCTCTCAGGGCATGGGGGTGCCTTGTCTGGGAAGGGGTCTCTCCTGCCTTGTGCCTAGCTGGGGCTGGGACTGGGCTTCCTGGGAGGTTCCTGGGCTGGACCTGCCCCCAGATCCCCAGTCCTCACCCCTTCAAGCGCCTCCTCCATGACCCCTGCCTCAGCCTGATGTCGGGCTGATGGGGGTGAGGGCCTAGCTCTTTCTGTCATCAAGGTTTACTGTCTGAGGATCACACAGGGGCTCCTTGGACCCCTAATGTACCCCCCGTGCCAGTTCCCACAGACCTCAGGACTGAGATATGGGGAGTGGGAGAGGGTGCCTTGCATCAGGCATCCCTGGGGTCCAAGGCTGGGTCACTGCAGGGGTGCCTGGTAAGGGTGGGGAATAGGGCAGGGCCCGGGGGGGGCAGCCAATCCTAAATTCTGAGCCCTCTGACACTGCTTGACGCCCTCTCGCCTGCCTCGCTCCACCCCTGTGGCTCTGTCCCACCCCACCTCCTGCATGTCCCCCCACTCCCTGGTCCTGGGTGGTCCTGTAGCACCCACCATAGCTCCAGCTGGGCTTGGAGCCTCCCCCGATGGCTGATGGGTTCCCCACTCCTCCTGCCTCCTGGGTGTGGAGCCCTGGTCTCCTGAGAGGTGGAAGCTGGTGCAGCTTGGGGCTCACATGCCTCAGTGAAAGATGGGGTTCAGTCCCTGGTCCCCCTTGTCCAGCAAGCAGCCTGGAAGTCCAGGCTGAAGGGGCCTGGAATGGCACCCGACCCTCCAGTGGGGCAGGGACTCTCAAAGCCCAGACCCGCTGGGAAGACTTCCAACCCTCCTTCCCACCTTTTGGGTTTCCATCTCCTCCTTATCTTGAGCCCCTGACCCCAGCCCCATCTGCCTGGAACAGCCCTACCCACCAGCTCCCCCTGCCCTGCCCCTGCAGCCTAGGAAGGAGGGGGTCAGCTGGAAAGGGCTTCCTGACGTCCCAGAGCTGGAGGGGCTTTGCAGGTAGGGGGCTGAGCTGGAGCAAAACCTTGAGCCATCCCCAGACCCAGAGGACCAATCCCTTAGTCCCCCCGCCCCCACCTGGGCTAACCATAGGTTGAACCAGTTCCTAGCCTGTGGCCAGGGTCCCAGGCCCGGCTTTGACTGGGACAAAACCATGTCCTTGCGAAGCCTTGGGGTCTGTCCCCCTGAATAACAAAAGTTGAGTCCCAGGCCTCTCGCCAGTGCCAAGCAAGCTGCCGCTTCCCTCCTGACTGCCAGGAGAACCCCAGACCCGAGGTTGGAGCAGCTGCCCTGCACAGTTTGACTTCCCTAATACTCCCAAGCCCCAGGGTGTGGTCCTGTCTCCCCGTAGGGTCCTCCTCCCTCCTTGGGACCTTGCTGGCTGGGGAAGTTCTTCCTAGTGTCTGACCTGAATCCTCGCCTCTACTTCCTGCCGCTTCTGGTGCCCGTGGCCACCCGTGTTCGCCTCTGTCTGTGTGTCTGTCTTTGGGAGGGGGATTGTGTGCACATGCGTGAACACATGTGCATGCCCCCTCATGTGCGCACGCTCATGTGCGTCACCCACACGTGGACCCCTCTCTGCCCAATAACCAGCAGCCTGGGGGTCAGGTGAAAGGAGAAAGTTGGAAGGGATGCTGGGGAGGATGGTTGCCCTCTGCTCTGTGGTACCCTCAGGAGGACCACAGGGCTGCCCCTGGCACTAACCGTCCCCCCACCCCGCCCTATAGTGGTGCCCTGGACACTTTGAGCCTCCGGAGTGATCAGCTCCCTGCAGTCAAGGCCCCCATGCAGCCAGGTGGACCCAGGGCCCTGCCTTCCTGGGGGTGTGATGAAAGCAGAGGGACCAGTGTGGATTGACTGCACCCTCCCTGGCTCCCCCCGACCCCCAGGTATCATGACAAGCAGGAAGTGACCAGCAGCTTCCTGGGGGCCATGTGGCTCATCTCCATCACCTTCCTCTCCATCGGCTACGGCGACATGGTGCCCCACACCTACTGCGGGAAGGGCGTGTGCCTGCTCACTGGCATCATGGTAAGGGCTAGGGCCCTTGCACACCCCCACTGACGGGGAGCTCACGCCGTCTCAACTCAAGGTGGACCTGCTCAGAGTTCCTCCCTGTGTCAGCCCACCCCTCCGCCACCCTGCTCCTTCCCTCTGATATGACACAGAAGACACCCTCAGGCTTCCTGGGGACATCTCTTGGGTTCTTCCAGCCCTAGAGATGTAGCTTCCACTGTATTCTCCAGTCCAGATGCTGTGGTCCACTCTGAACCAAGAGTCATTTTTGCCCCTTTATGTTCCGCAGCCTGCTGAATTCACAACCCTTGGATCCAGGGCAACGGGCTTGATGCTTCTGTGCCTCGGTTTCCGCCACTCCCTCTGCTTCTTGCAAGGACTGAGTCCGTTCATTTATATGAAATGCCTAGAGTCATGAACGCCTCGGATACCCAGTCAATACCCTCTGAGCCCTGCCATCACAGCCCAATTCTCCATCCTCCCCTGACTACCGGGGTGTCCTGAGCACCCCACTGAGCCCCTGGGTGTAAGGTTTATCGCTTGTGACTCCTGTGGGCCCAGGCAGCACCCCTTCTTCCCTAAAGACTTCTCAAGTCCGCCTGCTTGTATGGGCATACTTTGGCGTCTAGTGCCTTCCCTTTACCCTGCCCATCCCCTCCTTCTGGAACCTTCTTTCTCTCCAAGTTTCTTTCATCTCCACAAGTGCTTTTCCATGTTTTGAATTACGAGTTGTTCGACGTACAGTAGGGAACCCCTCTCCCCAGCCCCCAACTAGCATGTTCATTTTGATGCCGAAAACTCGGCCTCTGTGCACTGGTGCTGAATCAAATCCTGGAGTCAGAGTTTGGGGTGAGGTAGGAAAAAATAGCTGTATTGCTCTGCCAGGAAAAGGGGGACACAGCAGGCTCATGCCCCTCAAAACTGTGTGTCCCAGCCTGGGAGGATTTGGTGAGGAGTTTTATACAATGGTTCATGGACGGAGCTGCTGATAAGGCTCAGAGTGTGCGCAGGGCCTTCATTCCTTTAATCTGGCCTCAGGTGATCTCCTGATGAGCTTCTGTGGTTCTTGAGGTTATCAAACTTATGACCTTCTCTCTGGAATGAAGAAACTTCATCAAATAGTTCATCTTCCATTTGCTGGGGGCCTTAGTTCTGCAGAAGAGCTCAAAGATACTCTTCTGTGCATCCTTTAAGGTGGAGCCAGCACCTGCCCCCAAGGCTGCCCTATGGTTTCTTGGCTGCTCCTCCCTTGTCTCTGCGTCCCCTCCCTTCCCTGATTAGCAACTGTTCCAAAGGCTTCTGTTGCCCAGGAGCCCCACAGGGCCCTCCTCGGTTTCAATTTGTGAAAAAAAATCAATGAACACCCACAAGCCAAAGGACGTCAACCAACCCGATTCCCCCCAGGGTCCGCCCCAGGCCACTTCCTTTTCTTCGTAGAGAGATGCTTTTGTTCTTGCAAAAGTACTATGCTGGGCTTCCCTAGTGGCGCAGTGTTTGAGAGTCCACCTGCCCATGCAGGGGACACAGGTTCGTGCCCCGGTCCGGGAAGATCCCACATGCCGCTGAGCGGCTGGGCCCGTGAGCCATGGCCGCTGAGCCTGCGCATCTGGAGCCTGTGCTCCACAACGGGAGAGGCTGCAACAGTGAGAGGCCTACGTACTGGAAAAAAAAAAAAAAGAAAAGAAAAGTACTAGGCCATTCCCACCATGGTTTCCTTTCCTCCTGCAGAGGGAAGCGCTGTCTTTCCATTGGCTCCTCCCAGCCCGCTTCACTGAGTGCAGACTGACCCTGTTGTCAACATCTCCCAAGGCCCATGGCTCTCTCCCCTCTTCACCTCTTGTCCCCTCCTCTTTGGACACAAGCTGGGGGTCCACGTCCTCCTCTGGCCCCCACCGGGGTCTTGCTTCTCCTGGACAAGCTGACCTAGACCCTCTCTCAGTTAAAAGGCATTATGCCTGTTTGCTTACGTTATTTTGTGAGATTGGAAGACAAAAAAACTAAAATTCGGCCACAATCCACTCCCCTACCCCCATCCCCAGCAAATGAACTTTACAAACGAATAAAGAAGAGTTCTCAGATAAGATGATGGCTTTAGACCCAGAAAACCCGCAGCGAAACAGAAAAGCCATGTTCTCTTCTCTGGGATGAGGCTCCTTCCAGAAAATTAGTTCTGTGTTTACCCTGTGGCTCATTCCAGGCCCTCGCCCCCGGCATGTGCAGGAATGTTTACACCCAGGGATGTTTTTTGCTTTTCTCTGTCACCACACAGCCAGGCATCATACGAAGCCACACATTGGTCTTTATTCTCTCTCTCTCTCTCTCTCTCTCTCTCTCTCTCTCTCTCTCTCTCTCTCCTCTCTCTCTCTCTCTCCACACCGCATGGCTTGTGGCATCTTAGTTCCCTGACCAAGGGTCGAACCCGGGCCCTCGGCAGTGACAGTGCAGAGTCCTAACCACTGGACCACCAGGGAATTCCCCACACATTGGTCTTTTAAGCCACTTTCAAATTCTTCTGTTAGACCGCTCCTCTTCTACCCTTGCCCAAGTGTGTCCCCTCCCAGTCTCTGCCCCACGGACTCACCCCCTTCCGATAGCTTATAAAGCACACATTTGCTCATTCTTGAACTTCAAGGCATCCCAGCATGGCCTCCTCTGAACTCAGTGTCTTTTGCTGGACGTGGCATCCATGCTATTGTGCGGAGTCATTGGCTGATCCTTTTCCTGGGGGTACAGTATTCCACATGGAGGTTTCCAGTATGTTTCTTTGCCCCAGTTGACAGGGCTTTTCTTTTTTCTTTTTTTTTTTTTTAACATCTTTATTGGGGTATAATTGCTTTACAATGGTGTGTTAGTTTCTGCTTTATAACAGAGTGAGTCAGTTATACATATACATATGTTCCCATATGTATATGGGAGGGAGACAAAGAGGGAAGAGATATGGGGACAGGGCTTTTCTTGAACACAGACTCCTGAGTCTTCCCAAGACCTTCGTCCTGGCCAGGAACGCATGATGGGGTCTCCTCAGGGGGCGACTTGGTGCCCACCCTTCCCCGTAAATGTTTCCTTCCATCCGGAAGAAAAACTAGCCACTCCCTTGGCCCTCAGAGGCTGAGCCCAGGTCTCTTCCTTCCTTCCATCCTGTATGCAGTAGCTGCAGGAGGAAGCAGCAGGTGGATGCGGTGCCAAAGACAGCCTCCAGCGCAGGTGGGGAGCCACCTTCTGGCCCCCTCATTGGCCCCTGCCAGCTGCTCCACACCACTCCTGGGGCTGATGACACCTGGATGTCCTGGGCTCCCCGTCTCCTGATTCTCAGTGGCAGAAGGTTCCCCTTCCCGCCCTCCTTCTGCATCACTTTTCACTGCCCCCCACCCCTACCTCTCAGCCTTGCCCTCCCCCTCGGATCCTCACTCCTGCCCTTCTGTCTCTCAAGTGGCCCCCAAGTGGACAAGCAAGTCCTCTCTGGCCTCTTTTTCAGAACATACTGGGGAGGGTGGTTGCTAGAGCAGGGAACCCATCACTGGGGAGATGTCCCCTCCCTTTACTTCCCCGCATCCTGGGACCAATACTTTGCCTCTTTCCTCCTGCAAATGCCCCACCGCAGGCAGCTGGCCTGACCCTTCTTTCTCGCCACCCTTCTGACCCTACCAGCAGAATCCGCCCCCATTACTGGTCAGCAACATGTCAGCCGGGTCTCTGTCCCCATCATCCAGACCCCAAAGCCTGGAGGGAAATGCTTCCAAATCCTCCCACCTCCGTGGGCCTCAGCCCCAAGTGTACATGCGGATCCTGCCTGTTTCTTGTCCTTTTTCTTATCTCCGAGCCTCACTCTCCCCCTCTGCCCAGTGGGGATAAGAGCGGTCCTACCTCCCGCGGTTGTTGGGGATCGAATGAACTAATCTATGGCACAGGCTCCCTGGACGTTTGATGGATATTAAGCTAGTGGGGTTGGGAGTCAGTGAACTCAGAAGATGGGATTTGCCAACCCTGCAGGTTTGGAGGGCAAATGTGAGGGGGAGGAACCAGGAAGGCTTCCTGGAGGAAGGAGGGTATCCTACTTGCAACCCATACGAGGTGGACCCTGACATGCCCCCTCGCCCTCTTCATGCAGGGGGCTGGCTGCACGGCGCTCGTGGTGGCCGTGGTGGCCCGGAAGCTGGAGCTCACCAAGGCAGAGAAACACGTGCACAACTTCATGATGGACACTCAGCTCACCAAGCGGGTAAGGACGCCAGCCCCATCACAGCCACTTTGCCTCCTGGTCCTCAAGGGCAGACCCACCTCACCTTAATTCTGCACACGTGCCCACGGGTCATGCCGCGCTGCCTGTGTGTGCCCAGACTGCCCTGGGCTGTACCACCATGTGAACACCCTTAAGCTGTGCACAGGTGTCCACTTCTGTGCCCAGTCACAGCCCAGTCACAGGCCCCTCAGCAAGAGTCAGGGATTCGCGGTGAGGCAACCAGATGCAATTTATAAACCGGATGAACTCAGCAGGTCAGCTTCTCTGTGCCTCTGTTTCCTCACGTATAAAATGAGAGAGATACCGGCATGTGTAGATTCACTGAGTTAACATATGCAAGTTGTATAGAAAGGGTCTGGCCCATGGTGAGTGATGTGTGTTAGGCAGACACACGCGTGCACACACACAGCACAGATGTGGATGTGTAAACATGGTCCTGACCTACAGTCCCAGGACCCCAGAGGGGCATTACCAGGAGTTTCTGGAGGTTTCCAGAGCCTTCCATAGTTTTGTGCTACTCTAAGGAACTGTTCTTTCTCTGGCCTCAGGTAAAAAACGCCGCTGCTAACGTTCTCAGGGAGACGTGGCTCATCTACAAACACACCAGGCTGGTGAAAAAGCCAGACCACGCCCGGGTTCGGAAACACCAGCGTAAGTTCCTTCAAGCCATCCATCAGTAAGTCCAACACCTTTCCCACTTGCATTTCTGTGTCCACCTGGCACGGAGGCAGCCCTGGCCCCCGGGGAGGAGGCTGCAGACTAGGCCAGACAGCTCGTCATGGCCACATCATGGCCATTCCCATGCCAGGTGGTCAGTTGGTTGGGGCCTGCAGCTTCAGTGCTGGGTGGGATAGTGGGTTGGTCGGAGGGAGGCAGGTGATGGACCCAGCACTTGTCCAGAACAGTCACCTCTGATAAATCATGCAAACCACCCAACATGGTGGCAGGTAGCATATTTTATTCTCTGGAATAGCCAAAATGACTCTCCCCTTGGACACTGAAGCAATTTCCCCTTTTTGCTTTGGCTTCCAGGAAGCTCAGAATTAAATCTGTGGCCTGATTCATGTGATCATGTGGGATAATTAGAGATTACTTAATTTTCTCTGTTGTCCCTTTTTCCTGAGAATTATTTAATCAAGTGGTTCTCATCTTGGCTGCTCATTGGAGTCACGTGGGGGTGCTTTTTAAAATCCCACAGGCTGGGAAATCCCCGGTGGTCCAGTGGTTAGGACTCCACGCTTTCACTGCTGAGGGTGCTGGTTTGATCCCTGGCTGGGGAACTAAGATCTCAGAAGCCGCACAGCGTAGCTGAAAAATTTTAAAAAAATAAAATAAAATCCCACAGGCCATACCCAACACCAGTTACAGTAGAGTCTGGGATACAGCCTGAGCTCAAGCTTAAGTTCCTCAGGTGAGTCCAATGTGCAGCCAAAGTTGGCAGACTTTTTCTGTAAAGGGCCAGATATTAATTATTTCAGTCTTTGTGGGCCAAAATGTCTCTGCCACAGCTACTCAACTCTGCTGTTGTAGCAGGAAGACAGCAAGGATGAGTGGGTGTAATTATGCTCTGATAAAGCTTTATTTTCCAAAGCAAACAGCTGTCCAGATTTGGCCTGTAGACCATAGTATGCCAATCACTGTCCACAAGAAATATGTGAACCACATACATAATTTAAAAGTTGAAATTAATCTTAATATATTTATTCAATCTAATATATCCAAAATGTTATCATTTTAATATGTGATTAATATAAAAATCATTAATTAGATATTTTAGAAAGTTTTTTATACTAAATCTTTGCAGTCTGGTATGTATTTTACACTTAACAGCCTGTTTTTATTCAGACCAGCCACATTTCAATGCTCAGTAGCTACATATAGGATGTATGGGACAGTACACAGTCTAGAATTTAAACAGTTTCAAATCCTGTGGGATTGGGCACTCACGTATAAATTACAGTTGAGTCACATAGTAGCTGATTTAAAATAGAAAAACTTGTGTTTTTAAGCACTTTTCAGAATGAGCCCATGCATTCCCAGCTCTTACATCCTGGAAAACCTCATTCACAATTGGGCTTCCCTAGGAAAATCAGATGGATCCCTGCCCCAAGAACTCTCAGGCCAGACTCAGGGGCTGATGAACCAGAAAGTGAGGCAAACAATGTTAGGGTCTGAACTAGTACAACAGGAAGGCAACCAAGTCACCCATAGGGAACAGAGATGAGAGGCAGCACAGAGAACCCTGGTGTGAGCGGTAGAGACAGGAAGCTTATTGTGGGGAGACCCCAGGGTGTGGCTGGGGCGGTCAGCTCCTGGGGCACAAGAGGGTAATGGAGTGTGACCATAGCGAGATCAGGCCATGGGAGAAGAAGCTCAGTCAGCTTGACTTTAATTTTTTAATCCTATTTAATAATTTTGCCTCTTTTAAAAGAACAGCTTTATTAAGGTATAATCGACATACAGTCAACTGCAGCTATTTAGAGTGTACAGTTTGGTCAGTGTTAACATATGTATACATCCATGAAACTAGCCCCACAGTCAAGATAACGAACAGATTCATCACTCTAAAAGTCTCCTTGAGCCCCTATCATCCTTGTCTTTTAGGTAGAGAGTTTAGTCCATTTACATTTATTGTGTTTACTGTTATGATTGGATTAATTTCTCATGATAACAGTCCCTATTTCATGGGACTGTGGAGAGGTCTAAATGGAGTGATGTGCAGAAATGCCTGGCATAGTTCCTGGCATAGAGCAAGCACTCAGTAACACATGGTACCCCCGACCTCTGCTTCAACTATCACCTATGAAGCAGGGAGAGGAGTTGGTACCCCACCTGCTTGACTTCACTGTGCCCAGGTGTTAGTCCTATTTCCTCATAAGACCCCAAGGCCCTCCTTGTTGACCCTTCAACAGTTGTTTACTGACCACTGGGTACCAATCTAGTCTCTGCCACCTAACTGTGGGGCCTAAGCAAGTGACTGCAGTAGTCCAAGCTTCATTTTCTTATCTGTAAAGTGGAGACGATGGTGACATGCCTCTTCTCCAGGAATGGAGTGTGGATCAAACAATTGGGGTGACCAGATGATTTGCCTGCACCTGCCTGTCACACAGTATTTTCTGAAAATGGGAACTGTTATTGTTGTTGTTATTACTACCCTCGATATGTTCATTTGGTCATTCCACAAACATTTCCTGCACCAGCTGGTGTGCCAGGCATGGGGGACACAGACATGGCTCTGCTCTAGACCTTGCCCCAAGGGATGTCCCAGAAGGTTCTTTGGGAGAAGTCGGAGGGTAGGAATTGAGGAGAGTTAGGTCTGTGGAGAAGGCACCTGCTCTGTGAGTTACCTGTGTCCCTTTGTTCTGGGGAAGGACTATCTCGCTCACCCTTAGGTCCCCCTGAACACCTCCAAAAAAACAGTGGCCTTATGAGAACAGCTGATGAAATCAAGCAAGTTTGAACTAGGGCCTGAAGGGTGGATGGGATTTGGGTAGGAAAACGAGAGGTGGGCAGGCATACCAGGGAGTGTGCACAGTTTGGGCAAAGGCGGGGAGGTGGGAATGAGCACAGTGCCAGGGAGACCAGAGGTACCACCTGCAGGTATGAGGGAGCCACGGCATCTTCTTGAGCTGGAGAGTCCCCATGAGGGGAATGCAGTACGAGCAGCCAGTGAAAAGGAAACAGTGGTCTTGGAGAGGACAAACTGAGGAACACAGCATAGGTTTGGGAAGTGTACACATTTCCTAGGGCTACTTTAACAAAAGTACCACAAACTGGGTGGTTTAAAACAATTTATGATCTCACTGCTCTGGAGGCCAGAAGTTCAAAATCAAGGTGTCGGCAGGGCCATTCTCCCTCTGAAGGCATTAGGGGAAGATCTGTTCCAGGCCTCTCTCCTAGCTTTTGGTAGCCTCAGATGCTCCTTGGCTTATAGAAGCATTGCTCCAGTCCCCCATCTTCATATGATGTTCTCCCTGTGTCTTCACATTGTCCTCCCTCTGTATGTGTCTGTCCAAATTTCCCCCTTTTTATAAGGACACCAGTTATCTTAAACTCGTTAAATTTGGAAAGACCCTATTTCCAAAGAAGGTCATATTCTGAGGTTCTGGGGGTTAGGACTTCAATATATCTTCTGGGGAGACACCATTCAACCTGTAACAGGAAGGTTCCAGAGATGCCAAGAATGACTTGCCCAGGGCAGGCATGTCAGTGGCTCCTTAGCAAGTCTCCGCGAACTTCCAGGGCTAGGGGTGTCTGTATCCACCTCCACTTCTCCAGACCGAGGGCTGGGTCCTCTCAGGGGTCCTGGCAACACCCAGCATGGGTGGGCCCCAAGGGGCCTCTCCGAGCATCTATCACATGTGGGTGTGCAAGGGTTGAGTTTGGACTAGTGAGGAGGAAAGGAGAGCCCTACCTGGAAAGGTCTCCCTGGGCTGGTTTAGCTACAGAAGGGGTGGAGAGAAGGGGTGAGGACAACCCCCCCGCCACCAGCCCCATAGGCAGCTGTCCAGGGGGCCAAGGTCTCAGAGGCTGAGTGGCAGACTCAGGTGCAAATCCTGCTAGGATGCCAATGGGCACCGGCTTTACCCCTCTAAGCCTTGACTTCCCCTTCGGGAAATGGTATGGGCATAGTTTTCTGGACTAAATGCCACCTCCAGGGCCAGGAGCTTGGCACAGGCAGGCATACAGTGGGGCTGCAGGGCTGGAGACAGCTGCATTTGCTGTGAGGCACTGCTGGAGGGAGGGGGCAGAGGGAGGACGCATCCCTGAGGGCTGGTAACACCCCCTCAGAGGCTGGACCTCTCCCTAGAGCAAGGGCAGCAGCCCCTCCGCCGTCCAGGGCCCCCAGCCTGGCCCTGGGGTGGCGCACGTGGGAGGGTTGGGCATGGGCTGCCCAGGTGTGCTGAGATTAAAATTGCCTTGTGGTTTCTCCCTGCTCCGCCGGGTCCTGCCAGAGCTCAGAAGTAAGTCTCTTCCTGGGGGTTAGTGCATGTGGGCACTGTGGGTGGTGGCTGAACCGGCC